TATGTATCAGAGGGGAGGAACTGCACATTTGGCAGCAGATGCAGAACAATCACTTTTTGTATCACTAAAGTTTGCTACATGTTGAAACACACTTTTGGCAAGAAAAAAGATACTCATTGATTTTTTTGAAATATGGTCTGCAAGGGAGTCCTTCCCTGGGGGATCCACAGTGAATGTGGCTGCTTACTACCAGGAATTGAAAATAGAAAAATTGGGAATGCTGATGGCAAGGGTGAAAACACAGGCAAGTCTCAGCAATGACTTCTGAATTAATCCCATATGTGTTATTTTCTTAAAATTAAAATAAAATATATATGAGATGTGGTTTTGGTGGAGAAATCTCTGTGGCTGGTCCTCAGACTCAGGCTGTTGACCCATCTTCTATCCTGAAAAATTCACACCTGCCTCCCTGTGTTTATGGATGAAAACCAGTGAAAGGATCAAAAACTAGAGGTTAGAGGAGAGTGGCTCAATTCCTTTGACCATAGTTGCTTCTCAAATGGGAGAGAAAAAATGCTGTTTGGAGAGGTTCTAAATTTAGGAGCTCACAAAAACATCTCCTGGCCTACCCTTTTTCTGCCGGCCAAATTGGCAAGTGCTCTTGTTGAGGCATGGGTGACTGGCAGCAGAAAGTATCATTGGCCTGAAGAATTCTAGGACCTAGAAAGTGGTCTGTGACAACACCTTTCAATCCAAACTTGTCTCTGCCCATGTCTGGTCTCTTCAGCATTGGGCTTGTGGGCTTGTATTAATTTGCAAGGCTGTTCTGGAACTGTCAAGAAGGACCCAAAGATGGATGGTTTTGACACAGGGAAGAGGGGAGAGTGAAATGCACAGATCAGGAAGGGACATAATACTGCATGGAGTGGGATTGGCACTTAATTTCAAAAACAACAGTGATCAACAGCTTTTTAGCTCAGCTGACTGCAGACAAACACGACGTGCACTGGACTACGGCATTTGTTCACTGGGGCACAGAAGAATTTTCTCAGCTGGGTCCTCTTCTTCCAGACCATCCTTTACATTCTCCTGCTGGGGCCTGGCTTACTGGATAAATGGCATCCGCTCCTTGTTCTCACTGTCACCCTCATGGTCTTCCTCCTCTTCCCCAGCCTCGCTGGTCTCCGTGCTGTCATTGGCCATCTGTAATTCAACAAAGGATGTTAGTTACCGAGGCAGACCTCTTGCTTTTATCCTTTCCTGTTGGTGCCCTCAGATTGCTCTTAACGTTCTCTCACTGAAGACTTTCCTTCTTAGCATTCATCACGTGATTACCCCTGGTCTCCTCCCAGAGCCCACAAGCTGCCCCACCTGTGCCTGCACCTGATGGACTCTTGGTCCATCTCTCATGTTGAAATCAACAGATTCCCCTGCTTTCCACTCACCAGTGGAGTCGGGGTCTTTTCTACATCCAGAATTAACTTGCCGATGTTCCCTCGGTCGTGGATCCTCTGCATGGCCTCCTTCACCTGGGAGACAAAGTGAGAAACAAAAGCGCTGGTTAGGTGAGATATTGCCCAGGTGAAAGGGGCTCCTGGAAAAGTCAACCCATCGTCTGCCCACTAGAGGGCGCTGCGGTTCAAGCCTGGTGCCTGAGTCTGCGATGTTTCTTGAACATTGGACTGCAAATAAATTCTGGTGGTGCCACTCACACACTCTGATATTATGCAAGCGTCTCCTGAGTCTGAAAAATAAGGGTGATGGCTTTTGAAATAAGTAGATAAACTTTTCTTTAAGAAAAGTGTGTGTGGCGGGGAGGAGTTCTGAGTTCTGTTACATGATGCAGGGTGGCAGGGCATATCAGTCAGACTAAATTTTGACCAATAAAAGTATTTTTTGAGGGTCTTGGGCCGTGCTTACTTAAGTGTTATATAACTTTGATTCATAGTTTGGCTAAATTGACCCATTACTCTGAGCTGAACTACATTCAAGCAAATTCCCATGATTCCTGGTTTTTGGAGGGAAATTTGGTCTCCGCCTAAGTGGAGTCTTCCCCAGAACTAGCATTCTCCCCAGAAAAGATGACGTCATGTTTCCTTCCAAATGTGGGGGCTTGTCAGACCGATGGATGTCTCCCGGGACTCTCTGAATAAGCAAGATATGACAAAATACGATTTAAGTTTTGAGCATTTCGTTCTGTTGCTGTGTGGAAAATGACCTGTAGGGGGCGCTGTGAGGATTAAGTCAGACAAGGAAAGGACAACGGAGCCCGGCTCAGGTGCGTCCTCCACATCTCTGAGTGAAATCTAAATGGAAATACGACATCTTCTGATTTTTTTTAAAAAAAGAGTTACAGTAGATCTAGCCTAAATATTTTCCCTGAAGTCTCAAATTTTTAAATGTTTTTGTTCATTCATTCAGTCCACAAATATTCATTCAATGTTGCTTCTAGGCTGGATGCTATGGTTAAAAAGAAATTAAACAGTAAGATACAGTACCGGTCTTTGAGGAACTCAACCCAGGGCTGACGAAGCAGTGTTTGCTTATGTAAAAACCAAAGCCTCCTACTCATTTGGACAAAAACTTGACAGAGCCATTAAAATGTTTGTATTCTAATTGCTTTTCTGGGACTTTATCCTAAAGACATGTTCAAGTTATAGGCAAAAAAAAAAAAAAAAAAAAAAAA